CTCTTCTTATGGATAGACAGGACTTCTTTATATGTGGTTGAGTTTCCTTCTGTGCAAAAGTAGCAGTTACACGGCCTGAACCCAGAAGTCCCCCCCCCATCCCTTTGTCATGCTGTTGATCACAAACCCATCCAAGTTCAAGTGTTGGGGAGTTGACGGGAGTTGTGAGAGAAATGGTGGCCATCACTGCAATTTACTACAAATGGTAACCCCAGCTTCAGGACAGTGTAATTGTGAAAGTTAATGGAAAAAATCCTGCCTCTCCACCAGGCCTCCACTGACACCACCCAGTAGGAGAAGGGTGTTTCATTGCTGCCAGCCAGGGGTAGAGGTCCAGGCTCCCCATGTGGGCTCTTTTCACTCTATGGGGCCAGGGGTGGGGGAGGCCTCATCGCTGGACCCCAGATCCCTCCTTGGCTTTCCCTGATAGTCCCAGAATGTGAGTTGAGGTGCCTTGTAATAGCCATGAAAGGTTGGAAATCTAGGCCCCCTACTTGGCTTATGCTGGCGTGGGGTGGGTGGGGTATCTTTTTTTTTTTTCCTGTGATGTTTGAAACAGCACTTGTCCTAAAGTTTTCTGCCCTGCTTGGCTGCTCATCTCCTGGTCTTTTGACTAGAGAGCACAGGCTTTTCTTAGAGCCTTTTGATCTATACTCGTTGATACTCCCAGGTTGCCCATTTCTTCAGCTTCAAGTTTGAGGTATGTGAGGTAAAGAGAAGACCCAGGAACCCACCACCATGTCGTTCCTCAGGCCCCCAGCTCGCTAGCCTGTCTGCCTTCTTCTCTCTACCTTTCAGAGTTGTCTTGTGTTTGCTTTATATATAATGTCCAAGGTTTCCAATTGTACACAGCAGGAAGCATAGGAAAAAGTAAGTCTACTCCATCTTGCTGAAAGCAGAAATTCTGTCATTTGCTTTTTAAATTGAAAGGAATAACAGAATTTATTGTATGTAAACAGCATGAGACGATTTAAGAGATCAGATTCCTTATATTCGTAAGCACAATTTATTAGACTTATAAGAATTTCTTAGTTCCTTGGTAAGATTTTATTAAAGGAAACTAGATTCATGAATCTGTTACTTTTATAGCAAATATAATTTTTTTAAGAAATCAAAGTCATGGGGCGCCTGGGTGGCTCAGCCGTTAAGCGTCTGCCTTCGGCTCAGGTTGTGATCCCAGGGTCCTGGGATCGAGCCCCACATCGGGCTCCCTGCTTGGCAGGGAGTCTGCTTCTCCCTCTCCCGCTCCCCCTGCTTGTGTTCCTGCTCTCGCTAACTCTCTCTCTGTCAAATAAATAAATAAAATCTTAAAAAAAAAAAAAGTCATGCAGATAGCCTTTTTTTGCTTGCAAAAGCCATCCCTCTAAGAAGAGAAAGAAGAAATGAACATTCATGCTTAGTAGGAGTTGGACTAATTATAAACATGTTCCCAAACCATGTACAGTGAAGCATTGACTCAGGCTCTGTGAGGCAAGTAACAGAAACCAGGTCTTAAGCAAAAAAGACTGGGACTGCTCCCAGAATGGAAGGAAGAGCTAGAGAAGCAGGCTTCTGGAAGTCACGGGCACCAGGATGGCTCCTGGCCTTGCCCAGTCCTGGCCTTGGGCAGCAATGAGCCCAGACTTCTTTCAGCCTTCATGCTTCTCTGTTCAAGATTTGGACCCCAGAGGGGCACCTGGGTGGCTCAGTCAGTGAAGTGTCCGACTCCTGATTTCAGCTCAGGTCATGATCTCCATCTGGGTTGTGAGATTGAGCCCCATATTGGGCTTCATGCTGAGTGCTGACTGTGGAGCCTGCTTAAGATTCTCTCTCTTCGGGCGCCTGGGTGGTTCAGTTGGTTGGGCAACTGCCTTTGGCTCAGGTCATGATCCTGGAGTCCCGGGATCGAGTCCCACATCGGGCTCCCTGCTCAGCAGGGAGTCTCCTTCTCCCTCTGACCCTCTTCCCTCTTGTGCTCTCTATCTCTCATTCTCTCTCTCTCAAATAAATAAATAAAATCTTTAAAAAAAAAGATTCTCTCTCTTCCTCTCCCTCTGCCCCTCCCCCCTCCGAGAGAGATGCTCTCTCTCTCTTAAAAAATAAGGGAGAGATAAATATATATAAATATCTCCCAGAGAGAATTTCTGACCTGCCTGACTTGGGTCAATCTTGGTTCATAAGCCCACCGTGGTCCAGGGGAGGATGGAGCACTTGGAATGACAGTCCTAACAAGACCATACAAGGGGGAGTTGGGGGCATGGGGGAGTTCTCCACAGCAAAATCAGGGTGCTATTTCCAAAAGAAAAGGAACATGGTTAAGATGGCAGGTATGAGCATCACAGATGCCTGCAGACTTAAGAGTTCTAGAGCCTCAGAGGTTTGGGACACCTGAGGTAGACAAGGAGACCTGCCTATGAGAGCCTCTAAACTGCAGTGCGCTGTGGGCCTCCAAGCAGTGGACCTAGGGTCCAGTGTTTCCCAAACTTATTTAACCATGATGTGCTTTTTGCGTCAGAACTCCATTGACATCTCTAGAAACCCAGTTAGGGAAACCCTGGCCTGGTTGATCTCCAGTGACCCTTTCAGCTCTGTAATCCTGTAATCCTACAGGACAGACATGGTTTCTGCTTAATTCTGTCTGAGAAGAGACAACAAAAACACATAAAACAGGGGCGCCTGGGTGGCTCAGTCGTTAAGCGTCTGCCTTCGACTCAGGTCATGGTCCCGGGGTCCTGGGATTGAGCCCCGCATCGGGCTCCCTGCTCAGCGGGAAAGCCTGCTTCTCCCTCTCCCACTCCCCCTGCTTGTGTTCCCTCTCTTGCTGTCTTTCTCTGTCGAATAAATAAATAAAATCTTAAAAAAACAACAGCAACACATAAAACAGAGATGGAGAAGGACCAAGGAGGTGCAGCTCAGGCTATGAGAGTCGTCTTGGGAAGAAGTGGAAGACCTCTCCCTTGGGTCCATGAGATGCCCCCATTGACCTTCTATTAATGAATTGTATAAAGTGAAATGAACATAAGTCAGTTTCCTGTCTGGCCTGGTCCTTCACTTGCTTTCTGTTGACAGTCTGGCCCTGACCAGGGGCTTAGGTGAGGGCTGGAAGGTCCCTTGGAGGTTATCTGGGCCAGCATCTACGTTTTCCAGACAGGGACATACAAGCCTGATGAAGGGAAGGGACTCATCTAAGGTCATGCTGTGACGAGGCAGCAAGGATGGACCTAGAACCCAGGTCTCCTGGCTCCCAGCTCAGCATCTTTCCTTTATTCTGCAATGCGGCCTCTTGCTGGGGACAAAGTCAAGGACAGCCATGGTGGTTTCCATCAGTAGACACCCCCTCCCTCCTTCCACTTTAACCCACAGCGGACTGCCTTCTTAGCTGTCTAGACCATCAGCATTCCAGGGAAGAGGGGAGTAGAGGGTCAGAGGGTTGACTTCCTGCCCTACGCTTGCTAATTACCTGTCTTCCAGATGAATTGCAAGACTGTTTGTCTTGTTCACTCTTGATTTGCTAGCGCCCGGCCCAGGCCTTGAAGAACTGGCAGATTTCACAGGGAGGGCGGCCGGGTGGGAGGAATCTCTTGAGCAAAGGGGGAGTTGGAAAAGGCCCATCCTGGGCAGGGAGGATTCATATTTGGCTAAGATAGAACATTCTTTGGTGTTTAGTGGTGAAATAACGCTGGAGGGTATGTGGGGGACATAGTATAGTATGGTTTAAATGCTGACGCAAGTCCCTTTAACCCAGCAGTCCTCCTTCTAAGAATTTATCCCAAGGGAGTAATCCTCATAAATGCACAAAATGCATGTACTCGGATATTCAATCACAGTGGTGTTTAAAAAAAAAAAAAGAAACAGACTAGGTGTCCAACAATGGAGAAGCAATGATATAAAATATGGCACATCCAAATGACGAGTTATTTGGTATTTATTTAAAATGATGAATTAGGGGCACCTAGGTGGCTTAGTCAGTTAAGGGTCTGACTTCAGCTCAGGTCATGATCTCAGGATCCTGGGATCGAGCCCCGTGTCAGGCTCCCTGCTCGGGGAGTCTGCTTCTTCCTCCTCCCCTACCCTTCCCCCCCAACTCATGCTCTCTCACTCTCTTGCTTTCAAATAAATAAATCAAATCTTTTTTTAAAATGATGAATTAAATATACCTGAAAGGAGAATGTGTTTATAATATCTTATGTAAAAGAACAGGTTATAAAACAGATAATCTTATTTTTATAAAATAAACTAACATTGTCATTCATATCTGAATTTATGGACAGAAAAAAATTTTATAAGAACAATAAAAGTTTACAAGAACAAAATGTTTGCAATAGTTAGCTCTGGGTTTAGAATTACGGGTGGCTTTTCTATTTTGTTGTGATTGTGATTCTTCCTATCATTTCTTTATATTTCCTAATTATTGTACAATGAATATATGTCTGGTAATTGTCTTCTAAAGTTAAAAGAAGATGCCATGCTAAAGAATCTGAACCTTATTCTTAAGGTTCAGAAGTTAAATGTTTGTAAATGAAATCATTAAAAATGCCCTAAGCAGATTAGCCAGTTTAAAGAGTCTCGTTGAGACCCCTCTGGGAACACGAAGACCCCATTGATAAAATGGCAAATAGTATCCCCGCCTGTGTTTCTCTTTTAAATTCTGATTTCTGAATGTTGCTTTCCTGCACAAGACTGCAGTGAGTCAGTACCTTAAAGAAAGAGCAGAGCAGATTTAGGCCTTATCAGGTCATTGTGACCGGGGGACAGAGGACATTGCTTTCCGGAAGTGTCCAGCTCAGGGCAGTGTGTTGTAAACCAACAAGGCAGCCGCATTAACCTTGAGTAGTAAAATGTAAAAGTCCAATAAAAGGCCTGGGATGTAGCTTTGTGGGTGGTGGATGTTTTTCTGGTTTTGTTTTGCGACAGTGAACAGTGGGGTTGCCTATGCCGCCCCCACCCCCACCCCCAGCACCGCCCCGGGGCCCTTTAGCTTAGACCCAGCTCACATCTGCTTCTGTGAACTTTCCTTACAGGAAAACTTGATCGGCGCCCTTTTGGCAATTTTTGGGCACCTTGTGGTCAGCATTGCGCTTAACCTACAGGTAAGTCTCAGTCACTAGCACTGACTGGGGGCAGAGATACAGCTGGTCAGCCGGGATGTCCGGTGCAGGCCCCGCTGCCTCCTCACCATGGAATGTTGCCTACTCCATTCCTGGGCTGGGCCTTGGGCAATCCCTTGCAGGTTGTTCCAGAATCTCTCTTGATTCTTTGCCCCCACGTGATTTCCCCCCTCCCTTGACTCTGATGACAGCGCTGTCCCTGACTTAGAAGTTGCTGGGGTGCCCTGGAGCAGCTGAGCCGGCCTGTAGCTGTGGTTTGGAGCAGGCTGATAGATTGAGGAGCTCCTGAAGGCACCGCAAGAACTGGTTCCCAGGGTATGCAGATGTAACTGGGAAGCTGCATGTGGTGGTTATTGCCTCCAGGGCAGCTTTTGGCCAGTGGGGGACCGGAGTCTGTAGATAAATGCCCCAGGCTTCCATCCTCTGGTCGCATGGCTCTGAGCCTAGTTCGCAGGGTGTCCCAGAGGGTCCCCAGTGGGATGAGCCCCCGGTGCCCAGGGCACTCACTCTGCACCCTCCACTGGTCTGCTCCCGTCTCCGACTCGCTTTCCCACACCCTTACTGTGCCTCCTGGAATCACCTCCCAAATCAACTACCTCCTCCCAAGTCGGGTCTCAGGGACTGCTCTGGGACACCGAGACTGAGGCTTGACACCTGCGGACGAGTTAAATCCTACAGCACGCTGTCCCACTCCTCTCTGCTGGCACTGCCCAGCTTCTGGTTGCGGAGAAGCGCTCTCCCTCCCTGGATCAGAGACGTGAACACACACGGGTAACCTGGTACATCTCGGCTCCACGCACGCCCATGTGCCGGAGGGTTCCCATGTGTTTCTGAGGCCCCATGGTCTCCTGGCCACTCGTCTGGTTCATGCTCTTCTTTCCACAGAGCGGCGTCTCTGCCTCCGCATCCGCCCCTGGGCAGCCCTCAGCACGGCGCCCCCTAAGTGGGAGCTGTGGTCCCTCTAAGTCAACATGACTGCCTTGCTCGCCTTGGTCACCGCCCCACTTTCTCTATCCCAACTGCACACTTCCAGAACAAAGACTTTTGGCCATACTTGGGCCAAGTATCCACCTGAGAGAGGGCAGGGTCCACGGATGCCCCCGGGCTGCCCAGCAGAGCTGCCGGCTCATCTACAGAAGGGAGAGCGGCCAAGCAGCCGCCCCGAGCATGGGGACTCTGGGCACTGCACTTAGAGTGAGACGTTCAACCTGAAGCCGGGTGACCATGGGGAGGCGTCCTAGACCCCGGCTCCCACTCCAGACTGCACGCTGCCTGTGCTGTGCGTTAGAAATGCACATTCCCAGGCCTGCCCAGGGAGTGTCTGAGGCTTCCCAGCCAGTTTGAGAACTGCTTAGCGTGACAACCTGGTATTGAGATGGGGATTGCTCGCCTCTTCTCTGAGCCAGGACTCCAAAAAAACCTGACACATCTTCCCAAATAAATGTGGGGGATAGATTTAGGTTACAGACATCCTAGCTTCTTTTTCCCAAACCTCTGGGCCAATCACCTTCTTTCTTGGATTTCTAGAAGTACTGCCACATCCGCCTGGCAGGATCCAAGGACCCTCGGGCCTACTTCAAGACCAAAACATGGTGGCTGGGCCTGTTCCTGATGCTGCTGGGTGAGCTGGGCGTGTTTGCCTCCTACGCCTTCGCTCCACTGTCACTGATTGTGCCCCTGGGCGCAGTCTCCGTGATAGGTAAGACCGGGGCCCCCGCCACCGCTCCCTGGGACCCGCCTGCCTGTGCGACCACCGTACTCGGTAAACGAAGCAGCTTCTGCTTGGTAATGTCACTAACACTTACAGAGGCCTTCATACACAGCGGCCCTGCGCTAAGCACTTTACAGATATGAATTCTTCTAATTCTCCTTTTTGAGGGCAACACTGTCATGAGCCCCACTTTACAGATGAGGAAATAGGGGTCCAGGGTGGCAGGGCTAGAGTACAGGATGGTCTGGCTCCCTAAACCATTTTAGATTCAGAAACTTTATCAGAATTGCTTTCTATTTCTCCTGTAGAAGGAAGATACAAACTTGCAGCTTTCATCCCAACACTGTCAAGACATCCTAAGCTTTCGTAGGATTCAGATATCTTACACCTCTAACAGATGCACATTCAATTTATTCTCTGATCTTTTTACATCAGCTGACACCACCTCTGAGGCATTGGTCACTTTCTCACCTGCCATTTCTCTGTGATCTCTGTAATCCCGGAACCAGTGTCATTTGAACCAAAGAAAAGACAAAGGAGCTTTGATGTCCGTGTTCCACAAAAAAAGTAGAATTAGGAAAAAAAATTCTTTTCTTCTTAAATAAAAGATGTTCGTAGATTAGTGAACACAGGAGCGGGGACCGTGAACTTGCGCTGAAATATTTCCTTCCATTTGCTGGCAGGCCCCACGTGGCCTGGAAGCCCTTCCCTGCTCTTAAAGGAAAAAGTGGTATTTTGAGTAGTCTTTTTCCTCCTGGAGTAAAGAGGGCCTCTTCTACCCCACGGATAAGCACGGCAACCACGCACCCCCGCCTGTGCCCACAGGAGACGTCATCAATCGGTCAGAGCATCCCTTCGTAGAATTCTCAGAGCTTCAGGCAGTCCCCCTAATTACCAGGAGTTGGCAAAGAAGTGGAAACCTATTGCTTTTCCCGATCCCGTGAAGAGTCCCTCTCTTTCTTGACCAGGGTTTGTACCCTCGCAGCCCACAAGATGAGTAAGGTCCTCCAACATGCTGTGTTCTTTTCCACAAATACTGTTTTAAAATATAATCTGACCATAGAGTTGAGGGCCCAGGGGGAAGGGATGATTGGGCGATGGGCATGAAGGAGGGCCCGAGATATAATGAGCGCTGGGTGTTATATGCAGCTGATGAGTCACTAAATCGTACCCCCTGAAACTAACAATACAATATATGTTAGGTAAGTTGAATTTAAATAATTTTTTTTTAAATAAATAAAATAAAATATAATCTGAGTGCCTTTAGTTGAGGCAAGTAACCATCCCCAGTCCCAGCCTTTCCTTGTCTTCTCTGGCCCACTTTCTACGTGTGCCACCCTGACAGGAATTGAGGTTCGTCCTCTGCCCATGACTGACCTCTGAAAAGGCTTCGGAACCTTTCCTTACAATGAGAAAGAGGTGACCGAGTGACGAAGTGCTTTAAATATTTGCCTCCAAATTTTAATACTTCAGTAATTCACATAATCAAATTCTTAAAGATAAGAGACTGAAGTAGAATGATGGGTTCTCAGGTATCAGCCACTAGAAAGTAAGGGGCTCTCAGAGCTTTGAAGTCACCCAGTAAAAAATAATATTAAAAATAAATATTAGATTAATCACCACTATTTGTTGGGTACCTATTACATATCAGTCGCTATTCCAGGGACTTCAATTGTAATAATAGCTCAGTTATTGAGTATTTACTGTGGACACGTGATTTACATGCTTCATCTCATTTAATTGCCCTTATAACTCAGAGAAGGAGATGCTTTCAGTTGTGTGCTGATGAACCAACATTCAGAGAGAGGGAGAAAGTGAGAGAAGAAAAAGAAGAGAATGAGGCAGTGGGGGGAAGGGAGGGAGGGAGAGGGGAAGGAAGGAATGGACAGAAAAGCGGGAAAGGAGAAAAGGTAGACCCCATTTGTGGTGTTTCTGATTTATATGGTGTAAAGACCGCCACCGTAGCCACTCACGCTACACTGGTTTCCTGAATATTTAACAAGCAGCAAGTTGGCCTGAGCTGGATGCAGACTGAGACCCATAGGTAGTGACTCACCCCAGGACACACAGCCATGAGGCAAAGCTGAGAATAGCCATCCAGGTCTGTTCGTAGTAATGCCAGCCCCATCCCTCCGGGCAGCGACAAAGAAGTTTGAGAAGGAGAGAAGAACCAGGGGGAGAGTGTCAGAGGTAGTCACAGCAATGGAAGGAGTAAGAGCCGGGCTCCGGCACCCCTTACCAGCTGCATAGTCCTGAGCAACTCCTTCACCTCTCCTAGCCTCAGTGTCCCATTTTTCAGATGGCACCCACCTCGACGGGTAGATGTGCCAGAAAGAACTTGTGCGAATCCCCTGTCACCCAGCAAGTACTCAACACCAGTGCTCCTGGACTTGTAGGAAATCCTCAGGAAGGCTCAGAGAGGAGCCTCCCTTTCTGAGATGGAATAACAGAGGAACCAGAAGGACTGAGTTTTGGGGAGCAGAAGGGAGAGGTTAGGAAGTCCCAAGCCCTAAGGCAAATGAGTCTACCCTAGGGCCTGGGCAAAGGGACTCCATCGGACTGATAGCAGCCTCAATTTTCTTTTCCCTGTGCTTTTATTTTTTTATAGCTAGTGCCATCATAGGAATCATATTCATCAAAGAAAAATGGAAACCTAAAGACTTTCTGAGTAAGTTCACTGATTTGAGCTCCTGTTCTTAATTCTGTGCTTGTGCTGTTTGTTCATTATAAAGCCAGCTCACCCCAATTTAGAGATCATCCATCTCCTGCTCCCTTCCGTGTTGTATATTCCACCCTCATCAGCTCCTGAGAGCTGGGTTTTTCCTCGGTAGTTCCCAAATCTGGCTACATAACAGAATCATCTGTGAGATTTCTTAAAAGGGGCTTGATTTCATTCCATTCAATCAATATTTATTGAGCATCTATTGTTGGGATTTTAGGAGGCCTGATGAAAGGCACCCTCTTTACCTAAATGAGTTCTAAAGCAAATGGGAAACATGGAGGTCAGGAGTTATTCTTTATTACTTATGCATGCAGCCAGAGGAACTTGCTCATGCAGCCAGGTTTGGGAACCACTGTCCTGAATCATTGTTATAGGATAAGAGCAAGATGGAGCCAGGAGGTTGAAAAAAGAAAAGAATCCTACACTGAAAAAAGCAGAGCTACTGCTCAGCAAATATACGATGCCAGGACCAAAAGACTCAGAGTGATTTGCAGTAGTCCTGATGGCAGAGGGGGCGATGCAGGGGTAGCGGGGCTGGTTCTGAGACCAGTGTAGTTTTATGTCCCTTCCAGGCTCACTCTAGAATGTCCTGGTATAAGAGACATGCTAGTCCAGGCAGTGCCCTATGTGAATTTAAAAAAGATGGCCCCTCTGGGCATCTGTGGTTCCATGGGCACATGCCTTGGTGAGCAAAGCATGGGCTAGATTTTAGCCCTCACCTCTTCAGCTAGGTGTTTTTGTGCAGTGAGCAACTTATACAACTGTACGTGGCTGTCCTGCCTAAAGTTTTATTAAATTCAATAAACATTCACCCAATGCTAGACCTGTGCTGTACACCACAGGCATGGAGATGAGTAAGACCTTTCCCTGCGTGAAGAAAACTTAAGACAACAGTCTTGTATATCTTAGCACAGAACTTACTGTTGAGTTTAACCATGGTTCATTCATTCATTGAAGAATTGAGGGGAACTTTATAAGGCCCAGAATGAAAATTAAAGACATTTAATGTGGTATCACATTTTTGGGAGACAATGGAATGAAATATGTAGATAGTTCTATCCAGAAATATCCAGAGGCCTGGGGTCACCATGTGTAGCTCAGAACTCACAGCCCTTCCCAGCTTGCCTGGGTCTGGGCTGGACTTCGAGAGGCTTTTCACGAAATCTACATAGTTCAACTGGAGTGTGACAGGACCCAGGGCAAGAGTCAGGAGACTCCCAGGCCCCACTAACAGTCTCTGACAAGTCTGTGGAATAGAATATTGATAGTACTTGGACTGGTCCCTTGTGACTAGGTTAACTAGCAGATGGGAAATGATAAGGTCATTTTTAAAAGGTACATGGTAGGCTCTGAAGGTTTGCTTGTGAGATTTTGTTACATTTGGTTTTTTTTTTTTTATGTTGCCCATAACGTGATTCTGACTTTCAAACCTTCCCTGTAAAATGCACACTGAAACTATGGTTCAGTAGCAGAATGGCTACTGTGAAGAAGAAAAAAGAGGCAGTCTTACTCTAATACTGTCCCAGTGGGAGTAGAAACTGGTGCAACCAGTTTGGAAAACCATTTGACAGTAACTACGAAGCTGAAGGTCCACATATCCCCTGACCTGGGAATTCCCACTCCTAGTTTTATACCCAACAGAAATACGGACAATTTGTTTTCCAAATGACATACTCATAGCAACAGTATTTGTTATAACCCTGAAGAGTATCTAAAGACCCATCAGCAGGCAGAATGGATAAATTGTGTCACACACCATAGGGGTATGAGAATGAAGGAACCACCCCTACACTCCACACCAGGATACAGGTGAATCTCACAAACTCACAGACATCATCTTACGTAAACACAGACACAAGAAATCATATAGTACGAGTCCTCTTATAGAAAGTACAAAAGCAGGCCGACTCTCAGTGCTGGTAGAGGTCAGTGTTACCCCAGGGCTGCATCTAGTGATTGGAAGGGGACACAAGTGAGGATGTTGGGTCCTGCTAACGTTCCCTTTCTTGATCTGGGTGCTGGTTACATGGGTGTGTTCACTTTGTGAGAATTCATTGAGCACTTTTTGGTCTACATGCCACACCTCACTGAAATTTTTTAACATTAAATGTCATTTTTTAATTCTATTTTTTTAGAAGATTTTATCTATTTGACAGAGAGAGTACAAGTAGGGGGAGCAGCAGAGGGAGAGGGAGAAGCAGGCTCCTCGCTGTGCAAAGAGCCTGATGTGGGACTCGATCCCAGGACCCTGGCATCATGACCTGAGCAGAAGGCAGATGCTTAACTGACTGAGCCACCCAGGAGCCCCTAAGTGTTATTTTTTTAAATAACAATAAGGGAGATGATCTATTTGTGAAGTGAAGAAAAACCAAAAATAGCAGGTCATCATGTGTTGCCCTAAAAACACATAGGGGCCTGAAGCCAGCACCTGAAGTGAGCCTATGACAGCCTCCCCCCTTCCCTGCAGGGCGCTACGTCTTGTCCTTCGTTGGCTGTGGTCTGGCCATCGTGGGCACCTACTTGCTGGTGACATTCGCACCTAACAGTCATGAGAAGATGACGGGCGAGAACATCACCAGGCACCTCGTGAGCTGGCCTTTCCTCTTGTACATGGTAAGAGAAGCACTGGTCCTACCCGCTATGGCAGGAGGGAGTATCAGGTCCTAGAACCTGGGAACCTGAATCTCCAGCAACAGGGGATTCGAGTGAATCGTGACGTATTTCCCAGCACCGAAGACCGTGCTTATGGAAAATAGGTAGTTCACGAGGAAATGCTTTTTCCACTTATGTTCCGAGTAATGCCTAAATCTGCATAGATAATATGATAATTTTAGTTTTTAGAGATATTGTAGGTGTGTATATATAATGTATCACCAAAGGACTGGAAGGAAAAAACAGAGATTCCATCCATTGTTGTCTCTGGGAGCTGGAATTATGATTGAGTTTTCATTTCACCTTTGTCTTTATGCATCATTCGAAATTTCTACAGTGAGCATTTAAGACTTTTATGGTAAAAAAAAACAGTTAAAATTTTAAACAGTCATAGACATGTTATTTATTTGTTTTTCCCGGCATCACACAGCTGGTAGGAACTGATAGAAACACAGGAGACACTGAAATGGTCTCCTCAACTCCCAGCCCCCATTACGTCCCATGTTAGGTCTACAGATAAACTGATCGAGGAAGCATGTAAGGCATTTGATCAAGCAACTACTATATATTTCTATTCCAGGACGGGCACTGTGCCAAATACTTTCTTACATATCATCTCATATCCTCCCAACTGCCCTATAAGGTAAATGTTTTCTCCCCATTTTATGGATGAGAAAACTGAAGCTCAGGGAGGTGGGCTGACGGCCCAGAGTCCCATGAGTGGAGCTGGACTCACAGTCGGCTTCCTTTGCCGTGGCCTGCTGACAAAGGCCGGCACCGTCTTTCCTCTGATACAAGCAGCCTGGCACTGCTCTACAGGCCTGGAACGTTCTTTTTCCTTCGTTTGCTCACAAGGCCGAGGATGGATTTCCCCAGGATTGGGACTAGGTCATCTCCCTACCTCTAGCCAGCCCCACTGCACACCTGGTGGGTGTGGAGAAACGGCTGCAGGACAGAGCCAGAGAACCCCCCTCTTCAGGAAAAGCTTAACTCCAGAACACAGAATTTTCTCTCAGGGAGCCCTGGGCTTGAATCTGTCACTTGCTGTGTGGCCTTGGCCAAGTCACCTACCTGGAAGCTCTGCCTCCTTCTCTGTAAGCTGGTGGGAGTCACTGGACCGGGGCTGGTGGCTGGGGCTGGGAGACGCGAGGTGGTATGGGAATCACCCAGCACTTGGCAGGTGCCCAGGGACCCACTCAATTTGTCTTCCTGACTCATGTCTGCGAGGCAGTGCAGCTGTAACCAAACTCAAGGTGGGTGGCTGCTTGGGGTGCAAATGGAACACAACCAGAGGAAGTGTTAGAAAGCAAAGAACTTTCACTCCTTGTCACAAGTAAGGAGACAGGGAGATTGCTCTCAAAGCACTGTCTCCCCTTGGGGTTAGTGCGGAAGCTTTTATGTGGTGTGCTAGGGGGGTACGGACGGAGAGCTGGGTACATAAGAAACATACATTTTCTGCTACTTAGGCGCTTTGGTTCAACTGTGCATGCTTAGCATGTCAACATACTAAGACTTTTTTTGAACTTACAATGTCTGCAGACATTGTAAGTTCAAAAAAAATGGCAGACAACCCCTCCCATAGGAGGAGATCTTAGTATTAGGATGAGCTAAATGTAACTTTAGGGCAACAGAGGGGGCTTCTGGGCAGGCACTGATCTTTGGTGTGGCTCCTGCAGGGGGTACCCAGTGGAATCTCTGGCCGCACCTCTCCTTGGTGGGAGCTGTTTGTTCTGCAGAACAGACACATTCTTTCCCTGCGTTTGTCTCCCCGCCCCACCCCCCCATGGCTTTCAGTCCTCTGAATTGAGTAACTCCCTTTTGTGCCTTAACACCGCCAGCTAGAGAGATCTGGCCAAATCAAATCCAGTCAATATTTATTGTCTGCCAGGTGCCAAACACTGTGGACATCGGGCTGACGGTAGGTACACTGGCGAGCATAGCAGTAACAGAGAGAGTTGATGGAGTTGTCCGGGAACCGCGTCCTACACCAGAAACTAATGTGACATTGTGTCAACTATACTTCAAGAAAGACAGAAAGAAAAACAGGAAGGAAGAGGAAGGAAGAGGGAAGGAAGGAGGGAGACATGCCCCCAGAACTCAAGGTCACCCACACAGCCATCTTGCCCCAGAAGGCCAAGCGCTATTCCAGCATGCATTTCGGCATAGTGAAGAATGATTGGAAAACCGGACCCCCTGAGTGCACGCCTGATGGTTAGGAATGTTGATGAGTAACTCACCCGCTTGATGATGTATTCTGCAGCGATTAAAGATAATTATGACAACTTCATAAAATATGGGAATTGTTTTTGGTGACTAAAAACAGCCCAGCACAAAATTGTGCGTTGACTACGATGACAAGTAGATAAAATATGTATTCACGGCAACAAAGACAGGAAGAAACAGGAAAATGAAAACAGCTGGGTTTTTTTTTTTATGGTCTCTAATTATGAGGAATTTAAAATTTTTTCAAAATGCCCATTAATGTTTCTGCGTTGGTTGTTATGATAAATACACTTTGGGAGGAGGTCAGGGTAGGCAAATGGAGCCAAGCCACTGTCAAAGTTCGCTGCTTTCATTTTGCCGGGTGCTGGAGCTGGCCTGACTTCTTGGGAAAATGTTGCCGAATGTCTGGGCCCTTAAGGAGTGGAAAGGACCGTTGTTAAGGCAAGGAGGGAACTCCCACCTCACACTGACTGAGCGCCTTCTATGCCCCCAGGCCCTAGGCCTCCCAGGTTCATGCAGTGTAGCCTAGTGGGAAAGTGCACAGGCCCTGGAGCCAGACTGTCCAGGTTCAGATCCTGGCTCTGCCCTTGTATTAGCTTCCGATTGTGGTAGTGCCTACTTCATAGACTCATTGTGCTGATTGAATGACTTTAATATAGATACAATGTTGAGAACGGTGCAGGGTGTATTTATGAGTTCAGTAAGTATTAGCAGTGATCATGGCGTTAAAGGAAGAATCATTATCCCCATTTCACGGAGGAGGTAAGCGAGGTTTAAAGAAGCTAAGTGACTTGCCCAAGGTCACACAACTGTTTTAGAAGTGGATCCAGTTTCAGACTTGGGCCTCCCTGACTCCAGATGTCCTTGTCTTTCTCCCCCACCAAGCACACACTTTAGAGGCATGGTTAGGGGATGGGGGCTTGTATACTTGTCAACTTATCCCAGAGAGCTCTTCTCCTCAGTGAGCAAGTGTCTCCCTCTTTGACCGACCTTCAGGGGTCACCCACATGGGGTTCCCCACAGAGCAGCGAGGTGGGAAGAAACCTTCTCCGCCTGATCCTGGCCATCCAAGCCAGGGTGCGTGTGTGGCCAGCACATCACCCCCAAAGCTCTGAGGTGAACTCCTTGTCGGTGTTCCCCAGGGGGTAGAGATTCCCGCAGAGTTCATTCAGAATCCCCTCCTTTTCCATGGAAGTCTATCAGTGGTTTGGGAAATGCTGGCTGTTCAGGTCCCTTTCAGTCCTGAGGGTTCCTGACTTCAGCAGCATCAACGCCGGCCAAGCCCACCAGCGTCTCCCAGTCTTGCCCACGTCTGCCCCGCTGACCGCCCCACTTGCTGCTTTCCACAGCTTGTGGAGATCATCCTGTTCTGCCTGCTGCTGTACTTCTACAAGGAGAAGAATGCCAACAACATCATCGTGATTCTTCTCCTGGTGGCATTACTCGGTAGGTGGGGGTCTGGGGCGTTGAGTGTGGCCACCATCTGGTAGGGCCACGAGGTCCCCGTGGATGGGAGGCAGCTGCCCTCAGTCCTGTCAGGCTGCTGACTGCGTCCGGTGTCCTTGCTCAAAAACCCGGAGTCCCCTACGTGCCAGGAACAGTGTGGAAGCCACCCACAGGGGTGAACAAGACAGACGGCCCCCTGCCTTCGGGGGGCGGGCGGGCCTCCGCTCCGAAGGCAGGAACAGCCAGTAAGCAAGCAGACGGGTGTATAGAAGAGAGGCACACTGGGGCCGTGAGGGTCATGGTGACAAAGGGGATAGCAGAGTGAGGCGGGGCAAGAAGGCAGAGGCGGGCAGCCTCCAACAACCGAGTCCTTAGGGTTTCAGTAAACCTGTCAGGCTAGGAACGACTTCTGGATTCAAAAGCAGGAACCGAGTTTGCTCTCGCATTTTTTTTTTCTCTCTCTCTCTTCTCGGAGGGATGGGTGCCATGTGGGAGACGGCTCCTACCTCAGACCGAGGCGAGGCCTGACCCCTCAGAGTCTAACACGCCCGATAGAGCTGTGAGGACCCGAGCTTCCAGGGGAAGAGGTGGGGGATGCCCTCCTGCTGCCTCCTGGGGACTCGGTGGCCTCGGGCTGGTGACCCCCTCCTGTTTAAGCCCCACTGTCTTCTCAGCCTGGGCACAGGAGAATGCCCAAATCCCAGGGGGCAGAGCAGGGTTAAATGAGATGAGCACGAGTGCCCGAGATGTGCTGCTGGTCTTCTGTCCTTCCCACACTGAGCCCCCACTCCACCCCACCCCTCAGCCCTGCAGATAGGGGCCACCATAGGACAAGGTTCCATTATTTTGATATTTTTAAAACAGCTTTATTGAGGGTGCCTGGGTGGCTCAGTCGTTAAGCGTCTGCCTTCGGCTCAGGTCACGATCCCAGGGTCCTGGGATCGAGCCCCACATCGGGCTCCCTGCTCAGCGGGGAGCCTGCTTCTCCCTCTCCCACTCCCCCTGCTTGTGTTCCCTCTCTCGCTGTGTCTCTCTCTGTCAAATAAAATAAAATCTTTAGAAAAATAAATAAATAAAATAAAACAGCTTTATTGAGATATAATTTACATACCGTAAAATTCACCTGTTTAAAGTATACAGTATAAACAGAACCCTGTAATAGGTGGCTTTTGTGACCGATGTCTTTCAGGGAGCATAACTCATTAGAGGTTTGTCCCTGGGGTAGCGAATATCAGTGGTCCATTCCTTGGTGATCTTGTTTTCAAAGCAGTTTGGGACGTCACGGTCCCCAAATGTCCTCTCTGGCAAGTAGGGAGGCCAGAAGGTTCTAAGGAGCGTTGGCCGCTCTCCCTCTGTCCCCTTCTGACTAACAGGGACACACCCTCATGAAAGTGCCTGTCCTAACTGACAGCAGATGTTTGGAAACTGTCATCGAGGTCGTGGGGGACCCAGAAGCCGCTGTGTGTGATGGGCTGTTAGCAAGAGGGAAAACGAGCAGAAGCGGAGAAAAACAGGAAAGCTGAGCCCTTCAGCCAGAATAAGGGGCTTCGTTTGTACCCGGACTTGGGAGTGGTTTCTTTTAACTCCTGCTTTGGCCGGGGAGATAGGGGGGAGGTCCGACAGTTGGCAGCCATTTCTGCACCACTGGGTAAACCAGCGGTCTCCACGGTGAGGTGAGCAGTGATATCTCCGGCACCTGTTTTATAACGTGCATACCCTATAAGCACAGTGTTACATGAGTATCACTTTAAAATGCACAAACACCTGTATTTTGGAAAAGATTGTGCATGTGCCCAGGGGTAGGATCCCAAAATATTTGGAGATCTCTGTCTAATGAACTGTTTTTTTAAAAATACAAGTGAGTGAGCATTAAAAAAAAAAAAGAGAGAGCGCTCTTGACACACCACATGTTTGTTTTCCCTGTGATTATCATGAGAATGATACTCAAAGGAAATTCATGTCTCCATTCAAGGATGATTTTGACCTGCCACCATGGTCCAGGCACAGCGCTGATTACTCTGCTGTTGAGAGACTTAAACTCAACGCCCTTTCTTGCTGGAGTTCAGAGGCGACACTTGGAAGCGCCTGTCGGTATTTTGCCTCCCTCTCTTCTTGGACAGAGCACATGGATAGTGGGCAGCTCTCAGAAGTTCCGCCTCCCGTGGCGTCTTCGACGCCCCGGGGTGGCCCTGCCAGTGCTCCCTCCATCTTTTTCACCCCATCCTTCAGAGTCATAAACCGACCTTCAGGTCTGACGCCCTTGCTTCGTCCCCGTTCGCCCCTGCAGGCTCCATGACGGCGGTGACCGTGAAGGCCGTGGCTGGGATGCTTGTCTTGTCCACACAGGGGAGCCTGCAGCTCGACTACCCCATCTTCTATGTGATGTTCGTGTGCATGGTGGCCACCGCTGTCTACCAGGCCGCGTGAGTTGCCGCTTTTCCTGCTGGGCCTCTCCACGTTTTGGGGTCTCTTCCATTTCTTGGGGCTCATTTCATTTGTCTTTGAAGCTATAGGGAAGGCAGAACATTCAAGCACAGCCTGTCACCAAGGCTCGGCATCCACTATGGAGAGAGGGGTCGCTGATTTGCTGGGTTGTCCCGTGGGGGGACTCCGTGCCACTTGAAAGATGAAGCCTGGAGTGGGTGTGTTTTTCTCTCTGCCTCAAACTGGGAGAAGAGGCAGCCTCACTTCCCCTCTGCGCCAAGGCAGACGTCTGTTTGAGGGACTGTAGAAGAAGCTGTGTGGTCCCCATGAGGCACCACTTTGTTTGCTAGGTGGAACACAGCAAGTTGTCCTTTCTTGTCTGTCTCCAAGAAGCTTCCCCAGAGAGTGACAGGCTCATTCTCTCAGTGGTCCCGAGGGTAGGCCTGGGCCTTGTTCCCATCTGAGACCCGGTCATCCGCAGAGGGCCTGGGAGGGCCTGGGAGGGCCCTGCTGGGCACAGGAGGGTGAACAGTGCAGGGCTCGGTGTGGCACTTGAGGCTGATCGGTCCTGGGCAGGGCAGGCCCCAGGCCCCCACCCCCAGCAGCCAGGGCTCACTGTCCCCCAGCGGTAGCCTCGAGCAGTTGTTGGAGTGACCGCTGCTGTTGGGGCACCAGGGGAAGCCACTCACACACCCCACTTTCACAGGAACTTAAATTCATTTGACCCCCCACCCCCACAGAACCCCTTTGAAGCAGATGATACCATCCTCATTTTGCATTTGAGAAACCGAAGGGGCAGGGCTGAGATGTGAACCCAGGCATCAGGCTCCCCATCCCATGCCCCTCACCCATCGCCGCTCCGCTCCAGGCCTCTGCCTCAGCTTCTCTAGGATCAGGTTCCTTGTCCACAACTGAGAATAACTGCAGCCCTTCCCTGAGAGAAGCATGAAGCTCTCCGTGCCGTCCCCAGGATAACCTCCCGAAAATCTCAGCCTCTTTCATGATTAGGCCGACTATGATTATTACCGTCCTGAGTCCTACTACAGAGATTCTGGCCATCACCCCCGAGCCATCCCAGCACCAGGCTCTGTGCTGAGCACTCCAGGGTTACAGAGGAGAGTCCAATGCCCCAGCCGCCTCCTGGGGAGCTTCTCACTCACCCAGTCAGCACACAGCCACACAGCCACCGAGGGCCTCCTGTGTGCCAGCCCCTGGGCCTTCCGCCACGGGGCAGGACCAGTAGTCACTGTCCGCGGGGCACTGCCAGCCCTGTGAATGGATGAGTGCAGCCGAGTGGGAAGTCTGTCACGATATAAGCAACTACGTAGTGATACCTAAAATGCTCCGCAGAGAATGGACAAAGAATATATTCCGAAATGAGGGAGTGTAGATCGTAGATGCAGAGAGGAGGGATGATTCTAATTTTCTCTCTCTCTTTTGCCTGCATTTGTTGCAGTGAGCACATTATTTTTTCATTAAGAAAAAAAATTTGTTTAAAAAAAAAAAATGACAGCAACAGGTGGAACACCGTGAGTGCCGTAGGAGTTTCTTGGACTGTTCGCGAGAACAGGATGGCCCTTTCTAGGGGGGTGGGGGTGCCGCGGACAGCGACGTGAGGAAGAGGGTATCTCGGGTGGGCGAGAACCATGTGGCCAGAGGTGTGAGACCAGGAAGTCATGGTCCCCTTGGGGAACGGCGGTGGACCTCAGGCTCTGTGGACAAATGGGAGTGAAGCATGGACCCTAGGCCCAGAGACGCAGCCGGATGGCATCTTTCTTTCATGTGCTATCTTCATATTTCAAGCTAAGCCTACCGTCACCGGCTCGCACCTCAGCCTTTCTGACAGGCCCACTGACCAGAGTGCTCTTGTATTGAAGGTTTTTAAGTCAAGCCACACAGATGTACGACTCCTCTTTGATCGCCAGCGTGGGCTACATTCTGTCCACTACCATTGCCATCACAGCAGGTAAGGGTGGCAACTGCTAGATTTCTGTCTCCTACCTTAGCAGCAGCGACGTTACCCCAGTGTGGAGGGATGAGGCTCTGCCTCTGTCAAAAGGCCGACTCTGCTGACGTGTTCTCCTGTCAGTTGTATATGGTTTCATGGAGAAAGTGCAGGATTTTGAGCCAGAGAGACCTGGGCCCCAGCACAGACACAGAGCTGTGTGCCTCTAAGAAAATCACTTACCTCTCTGAGCCTCGGTTCCACGTTCATAAAATGGGAATAACACTCACCTCCCAGAATTGAAATATGTACAACATGTACTCCCGTACAGCTTGTACGAGGTTTCTCTAACAATTTTTGCCATCGTCTGCTAGCTCCACTAAGCAGCCACAGATTTCTTTCTATAATTTCTAGAGGTTATGACTATATGAACATCTGTGACATAAGAGGTGGCGGGTAACCTGTCATCATTTTTATATTCCCCTTTCTTCTACTCCACGCCTACTTTTTTTCTTTCTCTAGGTGGCTTCAGAGGCTACAATCATATCAGATTGTGTTTGTTTTTAAGGGGCAGAGAAGACGAAAATCTTCAAAGTGAAAAGACCAATAAGAGCCAGTGCACCTCCCTTGGAGGAAAGCCTGGCTGTAAGGCCGTATGTTTTCCACTTCAGACGAGCGCTGCTCGAATCCTGCCCGTAGAGGCGGGAGCATGGTAGGCACACAGCCTGCCAGGGCCTGCGTGATGAGCAGACCCGGGGATCCAGTGGGGCGTCCACCCAGAGCAGCCAAAAAGTGAAGCCAGCATGAAGATTTAAGTTCTGGTCAAGAACTTGGGTCCAGGCAAGGTTGAAAGGAATAGCCAACAGCACGATGGAGTCAGAAGCTGGGTGGGGATCAGGAGCTCAGGAATACAGCAAGAAGCCCATGGAGGTGAAAGAGTCCAGACAGAGGCTGCTGCAGGGTGGGTGAGGGTGGCAAGCCCATGTCACTCCCACCTCATAGGAGCAGGCTGCAGGCCTGCTGTCTGCTGGCCACGTGAGGTTAGAAGGCTCTGACAGCTTAACTCGAAGCCTTGCTTTTCCATCTTAAGAAAGACTGGAGAGCGTCACTTGGGTGGCTCCGTTGCTTAAGCGTAGGACTCTTGATTTCGGCTCAGGTCCTGATCTCAGGGTCGTGGAATCAAGCCCCGAATCAGGCTCTGCTCTCAGCACGGAGTCTACTTGGGATTATCTCTCTCTCTCTCTCTCCGTTTGCCCCTCTCGCATCCTGCTCACTAGCTTTCTCTCCCTAAAAAAATAAATAAATCTTAAAAAAAAAAAAATACTGGCGAAGGGGGTTGTGTAAAAACTGGCAAATAAGGTCTGCAGTTTAGTTCTTAGTATGTTTCATTGCGGGGAGGCTGGGTGCAGGGTCCATGTGAACTCTGTACTATTTTTGTGAATCTAATATTATCTCAAAATAAAAAGAAAAAAAAGATGGAGATAAAAGGGGTATAGGAGGAGAAAGAAGATAATCTGTCCCCCCAAATGACTTTTATTCCACTGTCCTAACATGTACCCTGCTGGTCATCAGGCTCCTGACCACTTTGGTTTCCTGCAGGGAAGAGAGCTCAGCCAAATCATAGACAGACTGGCAAGAAGGTGATTTGAAAGCAGCTCACCCGTATTTGCTATTTCCTGCCTCTCCAGGAGCAGTGTTTTACCTGGACTTCATTGGGGAGGACGCGCTGCACATCTGCATGTTTGCACTGGGGTGAGTCCCTGCTTTCTGGCCCCGCTACTGCTCCTGCCTCTCAGGCAGTCTTCTAGAGCCCAGGGAGCAGCCAGAATTCAGAGCTTTGTCCCCCAGAGATGAATGAGCATTTTACCCCCCAAAGGGCTTTATCTCCTTCCCCCTTCTTCTCTTTTGGGCTTTAATCTCCTTGTCATTTCTAAAATATCCCACTTTGACACATGAAAAGACTCTCAGCCTCACCCCAGATCACAGAAATGCATTTTGAAGCCACATGAGATTGCCATCATTTTGCAAAAACTCACAGGATTGGTAGTATCCGTGCTGGCGAGAGGATGAGGAGACCAGCTCTCGCCGCACTGAAAGGATCTGTGATGCCAGAGGATAGTTTGGCAATGTCAGTAAAAATTATAAATGAGCAATGTTTGATGCAGCCTTCCAAATGGGACACAAAGACACATGTGTGAGGCTGTTTAGAAAAATTAATTGTAGGGATGCCTGGGTGGCTCTGTCGGTTAAGCGTCTGCCTTTTCGGCTAAGGTCATGATCCCAGGATCCTGGGATCGAGTCCCGCATCGGGCTCAAGTAAATAATCGGAAGTAGCCTAAATGCCCAGCAGTAGAATATAGGTTAAATAAATTACGGTATATCCATATAATAAAGTACCGTGCTGCCATTTTGAAAAATTGAGGCCATTCTATAGATGTTGACATAGAACCATGTCTAGGATACATTAGATGGAAAAAGTTACATTTTTAAAATGTATAGTCTACCCTATGATCTAGCAGTTCCACATCTAGAATATACCCAAAAGAAATGAGTACATATATTGACAAAATGACTTGTACCTGAATATTTATAGTAGCTTTATTCATCATGTGCTCAAATTGGTTACAACCCAAATGTCTATCAACAGGAGAGTGAAAAACAAATGATGTAGTATATTCAGACAATGGATTCAATATAATAATTAAAAATAATGAACTACTAATACATACAATAAAGTGAATGAACCTTAAAAACATTTACAAGTGAAAGAAACCAAACAGAGTACACACTGTATGATTTAACTTATAAGAAGTTCAAGAACAGGATGGGGCGCCTGGGTGGCCCAGTCATTAAGCGTCTGCCTTCGGCTCAGGTCATGATCCCAGGGTCCTGGGATCGAGCCCCGCATCAGGCTCCCTGCTCAGAGGGAAGCCTGCTTCTCCCTCTCCCGCTCCCCCTGCTTGTGTTCCCTCTCTCGCTGTGTCTCTCTCTGTCAAATACATAAATAAAATCTTTTAAAAAAAAAAAAAGAAACCAAACAGAGTACACACTGTATGATTTAACTTATAAGAAGTTCAAGAACAGGATGGGGCGCCTGGGTGGCTCAGTTGGTTAAGCGTCCGACTCTTGGTTTTGGCTGAGGTTGTGATCTCAGGGTCCTGGGATCGAGCCCCACATCAGGCTCTGTGCTCAGCGTGGAGTCTGCTTAAGATCCTCTCCCTCTGCCTCTGCCTCTCCTCTCTCTCTCTCTCTCTCAGATAAATAGATCTTTAAAAAATAAAATAAAATAAAAAAGAAGTTCAAGAACAGGCAAATCAAGTATTGGATGATAGTGGTCAGTGGCTTCCTCTGGGTTAGCATGGATTGGGAGGGGCACAAGGAAACTTTCTGGGGTGGAGGGATGGAAATGTCTTCCCTGCTGACCTGTGTGGTGATCACAAGATTGTACACACAGGTAAAATTCTTCAAGCACTACATTTGGGGCTTGTGCATTTTACTGCATGTGAATTATACCTCGCCTTTTAGAAAGTGTGCTTATTTAAGCTCTAGGGAAAAGAAAAAAAAAAAAGGCTGTAGAAGAATATACCCCTACCTGGAGGAGTGGGACTAGAGGGAATTTAGGAACTTTCTAACTTTTTCTTTCTCTCCTCCTGTATTGATTGAATTTAGGCCATAAAGAACTTTTATTAAAAAATACATATTTTTTAAGGTGAAGTTCTAAGATACAGGCTAAATGGAAGTAAAAAGCCGTGGGAGTTTTGCCCAGGAGAGTCTAATTTATTCTGATTAACGTGGTGCAGCAGGAAAGGCGTGTGCGGCTGTTCCTTCTCTCCTTTCTGCTCCCTGCCCATCTCAGGCCCGGCAGCCTCCCCGGGTTGGGAAGTGAGCCCTCCTGCCCTCACTCTGGCCTTTTTTCTCTCCCTCCCTTATCCCTGTTCCCCAGGTGCCTCATTGCATTCTTGGGCGTCTTCTTAATCACACGTAACCGGAAGAAGGCCATTCCATTTGAGCCCTATATTTCCATGGATGCCATGCCAGGTAATGTTCAAACCCCATGTGTCCCTCTGGCCAGCCCATCCGTATAGAATGACTGCTACTTCCTGTTCAAAAAGAGATACCTAGCTGCTGGGTTTGGTACAGGGAAGGTGTGCTGTGCCGTTATGGTGTGACCGTCTCTCTCTCCCTCCCTCTCTTTTTGTTTAAATTTCGCTGTGCCAAATAGGAGGCAGTGGTTGAGGCACCTCCGTTGGTTTTGAGCCCATCTTGCCAGGCCCCCTGTCTATTTTGGGATCTCTTAAAGACAGTCCTGATTCACACTGGATATAATTATGATCTGTACATCAGGCTTCATGCCTGCGAAAGGAAAAAAATCCATTCATCGAGTTGGAATGGAATGACCAGAGAGGGGAAGGAGAATAGGATGGATGAAATTCAGAGACTATCGCCTCACTTCTTAGATGCCACAGGAGAGTGGATAGTTCTGGAAAGCCTAATTTCCCAAGGAGCTGGGGGTTCACGCTGAGAAGCACGGGCTCAAATGCCTTTAGTCCGTGATGGTAACGAAGGTGTGAATCCGCAGAGTATTGCACAGAAGGGAGTGGGGGCAGTTTGTGGAGAACCAGAGTGCCTGCCCAGCCTAAAGGGACCCAGATTAGGAAAGTTAATCCAGGTTTGCTGACCTAAATTCTGTAGGTTGCCAGTGACCACTAGCTTCCACTCTTTAAGGCAAAATTAATTTTTATTTTAGATATAAAGATGGAACTCTCTCTAGAACATAATCCCCACCCTTCATTAAGACACCCTAAGGAGCAAACTGCAACCCCACTGATGGCATACAGTACTGTTTACTAAAGCCCTCTGGGGTACAGGTGTGTTCTCAGAGCCGACTGAGGTGCGCCTCCTTTAAATGGCCCCAAGGTTTCTGTGTCCACTTTTATATTATTTCCTCATCCCTTGCTATCAAGCTGTCGTCTGTCATTCGTGCTCTGACCAGCCCGCCTGTGTATAGCAATTCCTGGCCAAACGTCTCATTTGACCCAACTTGTTTGAACTGTGTATAAAATTAGAATAAACAAGCTCTGAGTCGGGGCCTTAAGCTTTCTCCTAGGAGTTAAGTGCATGAGCCTTAGTGCATGGACTTTTAAAACATCTAATCTGGCTGCTCAGATGCCTTTTTTGCTTACTTCCTTGTTTCTCGGCTGTGTCCCGGATAGATGAGGGCGCTGGATAGCTGAATTCCAGATAGGTGAGGTGTCAACTCTGTGTGTGTGCAAGTACGTATATGTGTTTGCGTGTTTGTGTGTTTACAAACTGTTTATGGGTATGTATCTATGTAAGTATTTGTATATGCGTATATACAAATACACACGTGTGCGTGCTAGCGCAAAATAGAAGGTAACCTAAGGTAACCTTAGATACCTACATTCTGTGGTCTGTTCGTGGATGTGGCTCTCGGCTTCCTCTTTGTACCTTGTGACCGGTGGGAAGTCAGATCTTGACAAAAGGAGACCCTGCCCTATTGCTGTGGCATGTCAGGACACTTGGGAGTACACGTGTTCTGTACAATGAAAAGCGTGGGCTTGGAGTTCAGGTGGCCTGGATTCAAATCCCAGCTCTACCACCCACCTGCAGTGTGACCTTGGGCATGTCCTTGGACCTCCCAAGGCCTCTGACCCTCACTTGTAAATTGGGATTCCTTCTTTTGGGATAGTGAGATAATATGTTAAAGGCCCCTTGCACAGTGTTTGGGACTTGGTAGATGCCTGGTTAAATTTGGTTTCACGTCCCTTTTGCTTTAAAAGAAAAATCTTCGAAAATTTCAAACACTTGTTTGACCTGATGCCACGTAGAATATGAAAAATAAAACTGCTTAAAAAGAAGGGGGCGCCTGGCTGGCTCAGTCGGAAGAGCATGGGACTCTTGATCTCGGGGTCATGCGTTCAAGCCCCACATTAGGTGTAGAGATTACTTAAATAGATTTTTTTTTAAACTTTAGAAATCAATTAATTAACTAATTAAAATTAAAAAAATAAACCTGCTTCAATAGAGTGTCTTTCCTAACTACTTGGTTTCCCTGGTCAGCACTAGAACCTTGCTGTTGGTCCATCTAGATTGATAGCTTCACAACAGACCAGTAGCTACGGTTCAAGAGGCATTCAATTTCCAAAAAATACACTGCATGTCACAATCTAGAGAGGTTTAAATAATTCTAGCACCTGAAAGACTTCTAAAAAATGAAAAACGAAAAAGCCCTGAGAGCTGGGAGCTGGCCTGGCACTCACATCTGGACCTCGGTGCTCCCTGGCTGAAAAGAAACAGCTCCCTGGCACATCAGCCTCAAACGGGGGCACTCTGACCATGACAGATCAAGACACAAACAGGACCACTCCGTTGTCATGTATGAATGCAGACCACCCCCCAACACTGTTTACCAGTTAACAGCTTGAGCCTCAACACAGCCTTCACTCCCATCTAGATAAGAATTATTAAGATGCCCAGTTACAAAATTAGTCCCACTTCCTGACAGCATCTAATCCAAAGCCAAGCCCTGCTTCCTTAAACCCTCCCCCAAATCGCCTAACAGAAATCCAAATCCTGAACTTTTCTAACACCCTCCTAACTGACACATCCCACGGTCCCCCATGGTAGACATCTCTCTCATTGCAGTGAATCAATAAAGCCACGTCTGTTAGATTCGGTGTAGTCCTGGTGCTCTTTGGCTGAGGAACTGTGAAAAAAATCCAAAAGCTAAACCGTGCCTAGTAAGCCAACCCTTTTTCCTAAGGAGCATGCATCCCTCAACTTCTCCCAAGCGCCACCCGCCCCCCCGCCTCCAAAATCCAAACCACAGATTCTTAAACTGTACCCTTCAAATGCCCATGAGCTAAGGCTTGCTATGTGAAAGCATAGAGTCTCCCCAGGCCTCTCACGGAGTGGACAAGGCCATGGGCTCTGGTGTCAGATCCCAGCTGTGTGACTTCCAGCAAGTACCTTCGCCTTTTAAAATCTGTTTTCTTGTCCAGATGATGAGGATAGGATTTGGGGGGCCGTTCAGTGGAAGTGCCCAGGGAGGCCGTACAGCATTTCAGTTGCGTGTGGGCTTCCGTGTTCAAACCACCTGAGTTTAAATCCTAGCACAGCCACTTGCCCCCTTTGCAACCTCAAGCAAGGTACCTAACCTCTAAGTGCCTCATTTTCCTTATCAGTAGTTGGGAGGATCAGATGATATAGAACTTTTCAACTGGTTAGAACCGGTCTGTGCTTGCTGTTGTTACTGTCATGATCTAAACCCTCAGCCCAGAGCCTGGGCAGAGTAAATAGTCCAGCACCTGCTAGTTTCACGGAGGACATTTGGCATTCAGTTTCGTAGGACAGCTTGGGGGTAAGAGAATTTGAAGTCTCCATTCCCTGCCAGGAAGAGAGTTGGCCTCCGAGACCAGGTCCCACCTGACGGAGGAACTGTAGAATAAGGCTCACAGAATTAATGATAAAAGTCTTTGTTCTCAACTCTAAGTAGAAACCCGGCAAGCAACATGTGCCCAGAAGCAACAGGCAGAATCACACCTCCCCTCTCTGCGGATCTACGATGTTCAGTGTTAAAGGTCAAAACTCTCCCTCTGAGTGTCACGATGCATGTGCCACCACCACGTGTCCGTGACACGAAGGTCACCCTCTTCTCTCAAGGGGATAATGATCCTGATTTAATTCAGCAGGAAAGTATTGGCATCTACCACGTTCAAAGCACAGTGCTGGTTCTGCTCCCCCTGGGGCCCAAACACACGTTCCCACCTCATTCTTCGCCAACCCATGCTTCTCTTGACAGTGGCTGGTCTGTGTGCATATTTCCTGAAGATTCATCCCTTGTTGCTTGGCAACCATAATATTGCTAGCATATATTTATGGGTGTTCTTTTTTCAATCTAAAGCGTTCAGGAGATTGGCAGGGCACGTGATTAGTGCCGGAGCGCTGTAATTAGGCTGTGGTGGGGTAGAGGAAGATGCAGTCTCCTTTGGCCCCCATGTCCCATAATGATTTGGAGAAAATGGATTTCATTTCAGGTATGCAAAACATGCATGACAAAGGAATGACAGTTCAGCCTGACCTCAAAGCTTCTTTTTCCTATGGGGCCCTGGAAAACAACGACAACGTTTCTGAGATCTACACTCCTGCCACACTGCCAGTCATGCAAGAGGAACACAGCTCCGGGGGTGCCTCTGGGGTTCCCTACCGAGTCCTGGAACACACCAAGAAGGAATGAGCCCACCTTGAGGGAGACTCTCCTTCCCTCCATTTATAACTGCTCTCAAGCGAGGCCGACAGTGGTTCAACCCTGAATTCTAAAGTTTGCCTTTCAAGTCTTATTTTTTTAAACAGAGAACTCTCTAGAAGGGGATCTCGAAGAGCCTTTGTTTCTAGCAAAGAATCCATTATCTTGGTCTCGGAGATTTCAGATGACCGGGGTGGGGGGAATGAAAGCAGTATTCTCTGGGCGGGGTGGGGGGAGGCTGCGGGGTTCAGACTCTGCCTGGTTCTGCCCCGCCAGCTTGGGAAAGCCGTCATCATTCCTGACGATGGTAACTGAGCTTCCTCCGGCAGTGACCAAAGGTTGCCACATTCCTCGGAGCTGAAGCAAGGCAGAGATTCTGCTCTCACTTTCCACATCCAGTGAAAGGCTAGAGACCTCTGAATCTAATCTTCCCTTGCCTGATCCTCCCCATCTCACTCATAATTCCAGATTTCCAATAACATTGAGTTGTCATCACAAGGCATAGTAGGCCAGCCCCGGGAACACCCTATCATTCACCTGTAGGAAATGCACTTCTGCCTTCCAGTTGTCTGTGTCCTTCCAGTGAAAACATGTTTGGTGTATTTATATTAGATCCGCTCTGAAAACTAATTTGGTTTTGGTTCTGTGAACTATGTAATTGCTTTTCTCCCCACCCCACCCCCTGCCGAAGGAACTGAGAAGTTAAGAGAAAGAGGGAAATAAGGACAGGAGCAGGGGTAATGATACGTTAGCCCATAAAGGAAGAAAAATCCCTTTTCATCTTACAAAAGGTGATTGCACCACTTATAAAAGGATAGGCGGAAAATCGGGCTGTTTCATGTGTGTGTTCCTGCACACCAGTGCCCTCTGGGAAGCTTGGGGGTGCTTACTGCAGAGACAGCCTCCATCATTCTCCTTCCGTCAAACCAAACTTGAATTATTGGCTCATTTCCTTGGGGTTGACCGCGACTCTTGGGGTCATCATTCCCTTGTGCATATGTCTGGGAAAGTGGGCATTCTTGGTAAGAGGTTGCTGCTTTCTTTCAGGCTACATACTCGACTGTCCTCCCCCAAAACTGACTGTAGATTTCTGAGAATGGCAAGTAAGGGTTTGCAAACTTGAGCATAAGGATCCCCTAGGGAGTGTGTTTAAAATGCAGATTCCTACACCCCAAGCACAGACCCTCTGTGGGAATGACAGGGAGGAGCAAGAGTCTGCATTCTTGACTGGCAGCAAGGTCATTCTGATGCAGGCAATCCAAGGATCACACACCTTGAAAGCCTAATAACTGGGCTGCGAAAACCTCCAGGGGCCGACCCACCCCTGCTGCAAAGTTGCAATTACCCTAACTTGTTTCCTGTCTAGGGTTCATGTAGCAGGTCACATAATTCCCATAGGATCCGTGGCATTTATCCATCCCGTGATTCCTACTTAGAACTAAGCTTAATGTTTCCCTAGGCACTCTTTAACTAATAGGCGAGATAACAGTGTTAATAGACCAGTGTTGATAGATCATTAACCTTTATGGATTGTGCTTAATACCGATTTACTACCTTGACTTCAAAAAACTGGCATCTGTTCTTGTGATAACCACTTCGGTATTGTGTCTTAGTGCCTAAGAAGGCAGCAGACAATGACCTTTTTTCTTCAGGATACATTCAACAATATTTGTGACACATCTGCTGTGTGTTAGTAAGCATTTGGATGGGGGTGCCTGGGTGGCTCAGTTGGTTAAGAGTCTGTCTTCGGCGCAGTCCCATGTCAGGCTCCTTGCTCAGGGGGGAGTCTGCTTCTCCCTCTCCTTCTGCCGCTCCCCCCCCCCAAATTGTATGCATGCTCTCTCTCTCAAATGATGGGTAAAATCTTTTTAAAAAATAAATATAAATAAGCATTTGGCTGGTGAAGGCTACAAAGAACAGCAGTGGTCTCCGCCCTGCAGACCCGCAGAGGAAGACACGTACCCGGGAAACCACAGCAGGGCGGGCCATGAGAGGTGCACAGAGCAACCATGGGCCACGGAAAAAGGACGGTTAGGGGAGCCCTGCTAAAGGTCAGGCCCTAGCCCAGAACAGGGTATTCAGAATTGAAGATGATTTGGGGGCACCTGGCTGGCTCAGTCGGTAGGGCATGTGACTCTTAGTCTCAGGGTCATGAGTTCGAGCCCCATGTGTGGTGTAGATTTTACTTAAACTAAAAATGTTTTTTAATTAAAAAATAAAAAGAATTGGAGATGATTTGGGCTTCACCCATCAATGGGGGCAAATCTGATTTGAGCAAAGCATAGAAAGTAGGGTGACCACACGCACCCCCAGTCAGAGGGGCTAGCATTTGCAAAGGCATGGAGATAGGGAGTAGGTGTTGGCAAGGAAAGGAGAGGGAGAGAGGGTGATGAGAAACGAGCCTGGAAAGATAAGCAGCGAACGCCAAATCACCAAATCACAGAGGCCTTGAATGCCTGCTGGAGGAGCTCAGGGTGTGTCTTAGAGAGCGTGGGAGCCATTGATGATTCATAAGGAAGAGAATGGCAGAATCAACACTGATTGGAAAGGGGGCTTTATGCAGAGTATAGAGAATCTGAAGGGATAATAAAAGTCACTTTTCAAGGTCAAGCTGTAAGCCCACCAGAACAAAACACAAAAGGGGAATTAAAATCTGGTTTTGCTGCTATTCAGATTTTCCAAGTCATTTTTCTAACGTGGGCCGGGGATGAGGTATGAGGGCAGAGTGGATAAATGGAAGATGAGCAAGGAAGCCATTTCAATGTGTCAGACCCAGGTGCTCCCAACCTCACTCTGCACCTTCCCTTTTTGGGTTATGCACCTTTTAGTCTCAAGCCAGGCAAGGATGAGACGAGTGGATAAAAGTGCATTATAGTTTCAGGTCAGCTGTCATGGTTTCAGTGCCACCAGCCACTGCCCCTGGGCCCTGGGCCTCCTCTGCCTTCAGGTTGGGGGCGATGGCATTGTCCTATGAAGCTGAGCCACAGGAAGTCTGAGCAGAGAGCACTGGACAGTTTCCTGAGTGGAAGCCAGGAGTAGGCCCCTGGGTACTCAGCTGATGTGGAGCCTTGGGCTCCAGAGTTCTGAATCTGCCTGGGGCTATCTTCTCCCACCCTTTGTCCCCAAGTGTATATGGACTGTTTGCTGGTGGCACTTGCTGTTAGGACTGGGGGCGGGGGGGGGGGGAGGGGCATCAACTTTCTACTATTTTTTTTCTCTTGGCTCTGACATTCCCCAAGCCCTCTTGAATGCTCCAAGGCACATTAAGTAGCATGCCTCTCTCTCCTTCCTAGCAGCCAGTACTAAAGCAAGGTCACCAAACTTGGGTTTAAACTTCGCGTTGTTCCCTGGACTTCCTCTCCCCACTCCAGTCTGTCCCCCTCTTCTAAAGACTGGGACTCTGGGTTCTCTAATCAGACGTTAGAACCAGTGAACCAGTTCAAAGACTGGTGCCTGTGGGCTTTGATGAGAGATCAGCCCCTCCCCCAGACCCCTCCCCTTGAAGCTGCAGGTCTGGTGAGGCCATTGCATTAAGCTTCAGGTCACATGGGGTTTTTGCGGTGTGGAATTGATGGCTGGGTAGGGAAGGGAGGACCTATGGTTCCACTGATTTTCTGGTGGAAACCAGCCAGCTTGATGGTACTGTGTGTATACAAGACATCCATCAGGGTAGTGTTAGAGACCCTCCACCCCACACTCTTGTGAATTCCAAATCTGGTCCAGCAGTGGTTGATAGGCAAAAAAAATGGACTGCGTGTTTCTCTGAGAAGCTGTGTAAATGAAGTCACCTTAGAATATATTCTATGTGGATGCTTATATTTTGTTAACTCCATGACTGATATAGCATGTCTTATTTTTCAAAAAATGTGTGTGTTAGGTGCAAATAACATTATGAAGTGGTATTTAATTAAAAAAAAATCCATGTTATACCTGTTTAGTTCGAGTCTTATGTTTGGCTAATGCTTTCTAAAGTTGTCTGGAATAGTGCTGTCCAATAGAACTTTGAGCAGTGCTGGACCAAGAGACCAGTGTAATGAGAGAAGATTCTCATCGCCGGGGGGAAAACATTGCCGGCTGCCTTCTCCTGTTGATGCTGAAATGTGAATCCTCAACAGCGCACCCTAGAAACATTTGTGCACTTAATTCTCAAGACTACTTTATAAGTTAAAAAAAACAAAAACAAGAAAGCCGCAAAGCCCATCTTTAACTCTCCAAAAGCCAGTTTCTCATGAAAACAACAGGACCAGAAATCTATCCTAGCCGCTGTCCCTCACACTCTGTGTGATCTGTGTAAGCATTCCAGAATGATTCCGGTAACTAGATAGCTGTCTTATCCTTTTACCAAAATGTCACCTTCTATCGAAATGTTCAAGTCACTGATACTTCCCTTCACATGAATGACACTAAGTGTCTTTGCATGTGTTTACACACATTTGTGTTTCCTTTTCTGTGAACTGTCCACAGTCTTGGCCCACATTCTACGGCTCTGTGAGTCTCTGATTGACTCAAACATGCAATTTGTATTTTGCATTGATTAACCCCTTCTTTGTGATGTGAACTGCAAATACGCCCCAAAGTTTGTTATTTGCTTTTTGATTTGCTTATAGTATTTTTTTTTTTTTGCTATGAGAGAATCTTTTTGTTTTATGTATTTTATTTTACATATAATCCAATCATTTCTATAAAATATGTTCTTTTAGGGGCACCTGAGTGGTGCAGTCAGTTAAGTAGCTGACTCGGTTTCGGCTCAGGTTGTGATCTCAGTTTTGTGGGCTCGAGCCCCACCTAGGGCTCTGTGCTCAGCGGGGAGTCTGCTTGGGATTACCTCTCTCCTTCTGTCCCAACCCTCCCACTCCTCTCTCTCTCTAAAAACTTTAAAAAAAAATTTTTTTAAATGTTCCTTTATATATATTTTATAAACATAATTGAATTGAGATGCCATTTCTATAATATTTTAAATTTCTGTAATATTCTGGACTCTCCACTCTGTTCCACTGAACCGTCGGCCTATCCATTCACCACTAATATGCTGTTTAAATTAC